CACACACACACACACACAGGCAGGGGGAGTAGTGAGCACATTTTCATTACTCAATGTCGAGCACAGGAAACAGAGGAATGTGAAGAACGCCACATCTGTTTTTAATGAACACGAACAGGGACTAAACCAGGACTAAACCAGGACTAAACCAGGACTAAACCAGGACTAAACCAGGACTAAACAGGAACAGGACTAAACCAAGGACTAAAACCAGGACTAAACCAGGACTGAACCAGGACTAAACCAGGACTGAACCAGGACTGAACCAGGACTAAACAGGACTACCAGGACTAAACCAGACTGAACTGAACCAGGACTGAACAAACCAGGACTGAACCAGGACTAAGCCAGGACTAAACCAGGACTAGACCAGGTCTAAAGTAGAACTAGACCAGGACCAAATCCACAAATGAAAGTCACAGTTCTGTTTTTAATCGAGACCTTTTCAGTAGTCATAGTAGTTGTAGTAATTACAGTTGCAGTAGTAGTACTCGCAGTAGTAGTACTCGCAGTAGTAGTACTCGCAGTAGTAGTACTCGCAGTAGTAGTACTCGCAGTAGTAGTAGTAGTAGTACTCGCAGTATCGCAGTAGTAGTACAGTACGCAGTAGTAGTACTCGCAGTAGTAGTACTCGCAGTAGTAGTACTCGCAGTAGTAGTACTTGCAGTAGTAGTACTCGCAGTAGTAGTACTCGCAGTAGTAGTACTCGCAGTAGTAGTACTCGCAGTAGTAGTACTCGCAGTAGTAGTACTTGAATCAATAAAAGTCCCTGTTAAAGTGCCTCTGGATGTTTCAGATTCTCTCAGATTTATTCTGCAAATGGACGTTTCAGCTTCAAACATGTTTCAGTCGTTTTTATTTCTCTGATCTCCACATTTCAGCTCCACTGGGTCCTGCCCACAGTCCTGGTTTAGACCTGGTTTAGTCCTGGTTTAGTCCTGGTTTAGTCCTGGTTTAGTCCTGGTTTAGTCCTGGTTTAGTCCTGGTTTAGTCCTGGTTTAGTCCTGGTTTAGACCTGGTTTAGTCCTGGTTTAGTCCTGGTTTAGTCCTGGTTTAGTCCTGGTTTAGTCCTGGTTTAGTCCTGGTTTTCCTGAGTCCTGGTTTAGTCCCTGGTTTAGTCTGGTTTAGTCCTGGTTTAGTCCTGGTTTAGTCCTGGTTTCCTGGAGTCCTGGTTTAGTTGGTAGTCCTGGTTTAGTCCTGGTTTTAGTCCTGGTTTAGTCCTGGTTTAGTCCTGGTTTAGTCCTGGTTAGTCCTGGTTTAGTCCTGGTTTAGTCCTGGTTTAGTCCTGGTTTAGTCCTGGTTTAGTCCTGGTTTAAGCCTGGTTTAGTCCTGGTTTAGTCCTGGTTTAGTCCTGGTTTAGTCCTGGTTAGTCCTGGTTTAGTCCTGGTTTAGTCCTGGTTTAGTCCTGGTTTAGTCCTGGTTTAGTCCTGGTTCCTGGTTTAGTCCTGGTTTAGTCCTGGTTTAGTTTTTAGTCCTGGTTTAGTCCTGGTTTAGTCCTGGTTTAGTCCTGGTTTAGTCCTGGTTTAGTCCTCCTGGTTTAGTCACAGTTCCTGGTTTATTCCTTCATTCACTCCAGACCTGGTGGTGTAAAATACTACTGTAGCCACAGCTGCCCTGGGGCAGACTGACAGAAGTGAGGCTCCAATCCCACACACCCCTCCACACACACACACACACACACACACACACACACACACACACACACACTCCACTTTCATACAAGGCAGTGTGGGCGACGTGTCTTGCCTAAAGACACAACAACAGTTTTTGTGACTGGTGCCTCCTGTGGCTCATCCAAGTCCAGACCAGGACCAGACTCTGAGCTCCTGAGATCTGACAGGATCAGGCTTTGACAAACTGGTGTGGCCACAAGTCTTGATGACCTTCAGGACTCTGGGGTTGCAGGTCTGGTTCAGGTCTGGTTCAGGTCTGGTTCAGTCCTGGTTCAGTCCTGGTTCAGTCCTGGTTTAGTCCTGGTTCGGTCCTGGTTCTGACCCTCTTGTTGGCCTTCAGGACTCTGGGGTTGCTGGTCAAACGCCTGGAGCGTGGAGGTAAAGCCGAGCAGCAGAGCCTTTTCCAGGAGAACGACTGCATCATTCGGATCAATAACGGAGACCTGAGAAACATTCGATTCGAACAGTAAGACCCCGGGCGACTGGGCCTGTGTGACCCCCGTCTGACCCCCGTTTAACCCCCGTTTAACCTCTATTTGACCTCTATTTAACCCCCGTTTAACCCTAACTCCGCCTGCTCCTCCTGCTCTGCTCTAACCTGGACTTTCCTTTAAGCTCCGAGGCGTTTGGTCCCTGAACTCAAACTCCTGTTTAACTTCAACTCAAACTCTTGTTCTTTCAGTGTTTTTATCATTTACAGAATAAACAGAACAAAACTTGATCTGGACGTTCTGTAAACCTGCAGCGAGACACGTCCGACCGGTGTGGAAAAGCTCTACACACACTCTGGGACATTTCTTGTGTAAATTTGGACAAATCAAGTGTTTTTGTGTAAATCTGCAGAGACACGGGGACGTCTGGACACGTTCCATGTGTCTCTATCTCTCTGCTCTGTCCTGCTTTAGGCCCTTTTTTCTTTCTTTTCTGATTCTCTTTCAATGTTTCAAACGGTTTAGAGGATTTTAAAGCTGCACTGTGTAACTTTTCTACGGAGGGTCTGACCTGGACTTGGGCGTCACCTGTTCTCCACGGAGATGAAAACAGTTTAATGTTGTATTTTTTATTTATGTGTTCATTTATTTTGCTTGTGTAAAATATACAAACACTTTTTTTATTGTTATATTTTAAATCCTCCACAGTATAAATACTTTAAAGTTGAACTTTACAGAATAAAAAATGACGTTTACACTCGTACATCTGATTCAAACACAATAAGAGTTCACTGAGACACAAACGACCAACGAAAACTGCGACTGTAAAACCGCTCCACACTGCAGCTCTTTGAAGCTCCCAGGTTTTTATTTCAGTGACTCCACGACGTTTCACAAACTCTGAAACAGAAAACGCAAAAACTCCACGAAGAAGTAGAACAAACCTCATCTGAAGCGTCCTGCAATCCTCTGAGACTCCGACTCCCACAATCCTCTGAGACTCCGACTCCCACAATCCTCTGAGACTCCGAACTCCCTGCAATCCTCTGAGACTCCAACTCCGACTCCCGCAATCCTCTGAGACTCCGACTCCCACAATCCTCTGAGACTCCGACTCCCACAATCCTCTGAGACTCCGACTCCCGCAATCCTCTGAGACTCCAACTCCGACTCCCGCAATCCTCTGAGACTCCGACTCCCACAATCCTCTGAGACTCCGACTCCCAATCCTCTGAGACTCCGACTCCCACAATCCTCTGAGACTCCAACTCCCACAATCCTCTGAGACTCCGACTCCCACAATCCTCTGAGACTCCGACTCCCACAATCCTCTGCTCTGATGTCATTTCCTGGAGTCGTGTTTTGTTTTTTTGTTTCATTCAGACAGAAAACACTCTGTTCCACCTCGTGATGTCATCGTGTGGTGCTCCACTGTGTTTTTAAACTCCACACACCTTCACTAGAATCATCCGGATCATTTCAGAGCCGGAGTTTCTTCACCGACCTCCACTGAACTGAAGAGAAAAGGAAACTACCCACTTGATGACATCACGAGGTGGGACAGAACGTCTGGAGCTTTGCAGATGTAACAGACGAATAATAAAGAAACACTCAAACAAACACAACTCCAGCTCTGAGTGTGAACAGAACAACAGAACAACAAAACAACAGAACAACAACAGAACAACAACAAGAACAACAACAGAACAAAACAACAAAACAACAAAACAACAAAACTTTAGGTAATTAGAACATTAAATCTTTATGTCTTTAAAACATTAGAACTTTAGAACATTACATCTTTAGATCTTTAGAACATTAGAACATTAGAACATTAGTCCATATAACGTTTTAACATTAGATAATTAGAACATTAAATCGTTAGAACATTAGAAACATTAGAACATCAGAACATTAAATTATTAGAACTTTAAAACATCAGAACATTAGACTTAAAGCTCAGAGTTCGTGTGGTTCTTTAAGTCTCTGGTGACGTTCTTCAGCAGCAGAACTCACGTCAGATCTGATGAAGCCTCTTGAGTCTCCTCTATCCTCTGTTCTCTTTTCTCTCTTTCCTCTCGTTCTTCTTCCTCTTCTCTCTCGTCTTTTCTTTCTTTTCGTTCTCGTGTTTGCGTCTCGGGGAAAATCCTCCGTTAAATCTGTTCTGTCCTGAAACCTGCAGAACGACGCTCCAGAGACGACAGAGCGCCTCATCTCTCTTCATCCCTCCATCTCTCTCTCCTCTCTCTCTTCATCCTCTCTCTCTCTCTCTCTCTCTCCAGACGAGGTCCCGGGGCGAGGGGCAGGTGGCGCTAACGAGGCGCTGGAGCTGCTGACGGTCGACGCACGAACGAGCGCACGATCCGCCTCGCCGTTAGCCCGGATCTGTGTCAGAGAGAGAGAGAGAGAGAGAGAGAGAGAGGGATGAAGGAACAGACGAAGAGGAGGAGGAGGAGGAGGAGGAGGAAGGGGCTGATTCAGGAAGTGTTCATTAAGATGTCAGTCTGAGAAGGAACGAGGGAGAGAAAAGACGTTAACGGAACTCTCTGCTCTGGTGTAAAGAGTTTTATCCACAAGAGAAGAGAGGCGGGGCTTAGATTAGAGGAGAGGCGGGGCTTAGAGGAAGAGCACAGGCGGGGCTTAGAGGAGGAGGAGGAGAGGCGGGGCTTAGAGGAGGAGGAGAGGCGGGGCTTTGAGGAGAGGAGGCGGGGTTTAGATTAGAGGAGAGGCGGAGTTTAGATTGGAGGAGAGGCGGAGCTTAGAGGAGAGGCGGGACTTAGATGAGAGGAGGGGCTTAGAGGAGGAGAGGAGGCGGGGCTTAGATTAGAAGAGAGAAGAGGCAGGGCTTAGAAGAGAGAAGAGGCGGGGCTTAGAAGAGAGAAGAGGCGGGGTTTAGAGGAGGTCAGAGCGTTTTACAGAATCGCGTCGGTGTCGGTTCCTGCAGCTGATCTCGAACCAACTGACGTTTTCACGCTGAAAATCAGAACGTTCAAGAACCGAAAAGTTGGTTCCTCCACAGCAGATGTTTGTCCTCAGCAGATGTTTCAGATAAATTCTCGCTGCTGTTGATGTTTTGATCCACGTTTGTTCTTTTCCTCTTTCGTTGGGTTTTGTTTTTATTCGGTGGTAAATCTTCTTCTTCTCCGTCTGTGGACGATCTTCATGTTTCTCGTTCTCCGTTAGAACTTTGGTTCCTCGTCGACCTGGAGCAGGAACCGACACATGAAAACATCTCCAGAGTCGTTTGTGTTCAGAACTGTACAAATGCCACATATATATAATTTTAATGCCTCACTGTGGAACATTCCGTATCTCCATGGAGACGGCCTGGTGCCCTGCCCCCCAGCAGAAAAGTTACACAGTGTCTCTTTAAACACGTCCAGTTATTTCTTCTGTTAAAATCCAACAGATGCAGAAACGGATTTTGTCCTGGTTTTTGTTCTCACTGTTCCTCTTCTCTCTCTCTCTTTCTCTTCTCTCTTCTCTCTCTCTTCTCTCTCTCTCTCTCTCTCTTCTCTTCTCTCTCTTCTCTCTCCTCCTTCTTTTTTCCGCAGAGCTCAGAACATGTTCCGTGCGGCGATGCGTTCTCCTCTCATCATGTTCCACGTCGTTCCGTCGTCCATGAAGTCTGAGTACGAGCAGCTGTCCCACCCCTGCTCCGGCCCCGCCCACCCGTCCCCTGTCCCCGCCCACCCCTCCTCTGTCCCCGCCCACCCCGCCCTCTGGCCCCGCCCACCCTTCCTCTGTCCCCGCCCACCCCGCCTCTGGCCCCGCCCACCCGCCTCCGCCTCTGGACCGGTTCAGCCCGGACTCTGTCGGCGCCGGCTCTTTCTCGGGACCGGACCGGACTCCCCACCGGACTTCCCGCTCCCAGAGCCGCCCGGAGCCGCCGGAGCCGTACGCTCCCGCCGTGCCCCACCCCCCCGTCGTCTCCGCCGCCAAACCGCCCACCGGCCACGCCCCCCACCGAGCGCCGGCCAATCAGACGACAGCGGGCGTCACCAAGAAGATCGGCAGGAGACTGAGCATCCAACTGCAGAAAGGTGAGTGTCAGGTGCACTCCCATGTCAGGTGCACTCCTGTGTCAGGTGCACTCCCTGTCAGGTGCACTCCCTGTCAGGTGCACTCCCTGTCATGATGATTTTGTGTCAGGTGCCCTCCCTGTCAGGTGCACTCCCATGTCAGGTGCGCTCCCTGTCGTCATCTTGTGTCAGGTGCACTCCCTGTCATGGTTTTATATCAGGTGCACCCCTGTCATGTTGGTTTTGTGTCAGGTGCACCCCTGTCATGGTGGTTTTGTGTCAGGTGCTCTCCCTGTCATGCCAATTTTGTGTCAGGTGCGCTCCCTGTCATGATGGTGTTGTGTCAGGTGCGCTCCCTGTCATGCCAATTTTGTGTCAGGTGCGCTCCCTGTCATCATCTTGTGTCAGGTGCGCTCCCTGTCGTGGTTTTGTGTCAGGTGCTCTCCCTGTCATGATGGTGTTGTCAGGTGCGCTCCCTGTCATGATGGTGTTGTCAGGTGCATCCTGTCATGATGGTGTTGTGTCAGGTGCTCTCCCTGTCATGATGGTGTTGTGTCAGGTGCCCCCTGTCATGATGGTGTTGTGTCAGGTGCGCCCCTGTCATGATGGTGTTGTGTCAGGTGCACCCCTGTCATGATGGTGTTGTGTCAGGTGCGCTCCCTGTCATGATGGTGTTGTCAGGTGCGCTCCCTGTCATGATGGTGTTGTGTCAGGTGCATCCCTGTCATGATGGTGTTGTGTCAGGTGCACCCCTGTCATGATGGTGTTGTGTCAGGTGCACCCCTGTCATGATGGTGTTGTGTCAGGTGCCCCCTGTCATGATGGTGTTGTGTCAGGTGCACCCCTGTCATGATGGTGTTGTGTCAGGTGCACCCCTGTCATGATGGTGTTGTGTCAGGTGCGCTCCCTGTCATGATGGTGTTGTGTCAGGTGCGCCCCTGTCATGATGGTGGTTTTGTGTCAGGTGCACCCCTGTCATGATGGTTTGTGTCAGGTGCGCCCCTGTCATGATGGTGTTGTGTCAGGTGCGCCCCTGTCATGATGGTGTTTGTGTCAGGTGCGCCCCTGTCATGATGGTTTGTGTCAGGTGCACCCCTGTCATGATGGTGTTGTGTCAGGTGCCCCCTGTCATGATGGTGTTGTGTCAGGTGCACCCCTGTCATGATGGTGTTGTCAGTGCCCCCTGTCATGGTGCATGCCCCCTGTCATGATGGTGTTTGTGTCAGGTGCACCCCTGTCATGATGGTGTTGTGTCAGGTGCACCCCTGTCATGATGGTGTTGTGTCAGGTGCGCTCCCTGTCGTGGTTTTGTGTTTTTTTTTTGTCGTTTTTTTGTCTTTTTTTTTTTTTTTTTTTTTTGTCGTTTTTTAATAA